TGGAACTGGCTGCTTGTGTGCAGGCTCCTCAGCTAGCTCCTGCCTGCAACCCCTAGGAGGGCATTGAGAAATGCACTGAAGCAAAAGAAACCCAAAATATAAGCTGGGCGTGGTGGTGCGTGTCTGTAATCCCAGCACTCGGGAGGCTGAGACAGGAGGATCACTGCGAGTTTGCAAGCAGCCTGGGCTACACAGTGAGTTCCAGGGCAGTCTGAATTACATAGCGAGACCCTGACTCAAAAAGAAAAAAGAAAAAAGAAGAAACCCAAAGTATAAATAATCTAAAGAGCAAAATAAAAGATAGATGATAGGAAATAGGGAGGTAGATCTTTTGCAGAGGGGAAGGCAATCTAGGATTGAGGGAGAGGGGAAGGGAAGGAGAGAAGAGGGAAGTGAGAGGACTAAAATTGATATACACCAGCCACGTATGCAGAACGTATTCATTATGCATGGCAAACGTGTACTAATAAGCTTTTTTAAAAAAGGAAATACATTGAGCTCTGTAGAGGCTCACCCTGGAGGCAGAGGATGCTTGTGAGGAATCATGTGATGGAGTTGGATTATCCAATCACAATGGTAAAAAAAGAGGCTCTTGGAGAGAGGTGGTGACGCTGAACATTCAGAAGCAAGGTGTTCCCGACACTGAGAGGAACCACAGAGCAAAAGAAGCTCAGAGTATTTTCACAAGCAGGGACCTGTGGGGATGCTAAATGCCCCGGGAAGGGGAGAACCCCTAAAAGTGTACTCAAAGAGATGCCAACAAAGTCATACTTGATAAATTGGAAATGTTCTCTGGCACAGGAAGAAACCTAACTAGAATGGCCCCAGTGACCTCTTACTCAGTTCCCACGTGGAGCCAGCTCACAGTTCTAGATCCCACGAAGGAGGAAGAGGCTGGGTCTGCTTGAGAAAGACCCTGCTGGGCAGTCAATCATATAGACAGTGACTCTTCCCCTCCCAGAGGGTGCCAGAGCCCTCTGATTGAGAGTTGGGCACCTGTCAAAGGGAAACCGCTCAGGCTGTCCACAGGATTATGTGCATGATGGGGATGTAGGCTCCTCTGTCACTGTGTCAGGGGATAGACTCACCCTGTGTTACTTGTGTCACTCCAGGGTGTATCAGCTGCATAGACAACAGGAAATCCCCACAGAGCTTCCCCCATCCATGGAGTGGGAGCCATTGTAGTAGCAAGGCAGAACGGTAATTCTGGCACCATCACACCCCTGAACAAGAGAGTGAATTAGATGCGATAACGAACCTTTGGGAGAATTCCTGAGATTAGCACCAACATCATCTGAGAGACTCGGGCCTCTAGACGGCTGCCATATTTCTATGTCGTGCCTGCTTGATCCACTTTGAAAGGATTGGGGAAAGGGCAGGGGTTATGGAGAATGAAAGTGGCGATAACAATGGCAACTGTGGATCTGGCTCTGGGTTCTTGGAGACTCTGGATGTAAATCTATCGATCTAACACTGAACTTTTTCTGTCTTTATTGGCAGAGATAATTAGAAACATTACCATTCATCTTCCAGATACAAGAGTTCACCTTGGCTCTGTGGCCTCGTGGCTTTGTCAGCTGTCTTGCTCTTTCTCGAGTTCAAAGGGACTTTGATTACCTGCTTTTCTACAGGGTATCATGCTGGTCTGCTTCATTCATGACATTATGTCCATTTCAGTGGACATAAAAGACAAAAAGTAGAAAGCACGCCTGAGGACTGAGAAATTGTTTGTCGGCAGGTGGGAGAGAAACAGTGCAAACATCCGACTTCCTATTCTGTTGGGTCCTACAGTTTGGGACATGTCTGAGTATTGCTTCTAAGCCAAGACACAATTTTCTGCACCTTGCATCGGAGCCATGAGGAAAGACATAGGTCTTCTTTGGGTGATAGAATATAGTACATTTTGACAAGCTTATCCACATTTGTCAGGAAACTGAAAAGACTGGTAGTTCTGATTGTAGGAAGTCCAGATTGGAAACCCAACTGTCCTGAGGCTCAGGCCATGTGCCCAACAAACCTAATGTTATTGAAAGTTTCTGTGACATTAGAAAAAAGTAAAATAATTACAATGCAAGCCCTCAGGGTTTTGGATCAAATGGATGTCTCCATCTGCAGATAACTATCCTCAATTTGAAAAGAAGCTCCTGGCTATTGCTAGACCCACTGGACTCTGAACACTTGACCATAGACACTAAGGGCACCGTGACCTGAACTAATCGCCACGTCCCAGGTGCTGTCCGGGCTACCAAGCTATGGCATTGGGCATGAACAGCAGCATCTATCATCCATGGGAAAAGTGTCATGAGGTCAGACTCAGGCCAGTTGGAGGGCATGGATGAGTGTCCGGTGGGTGGCCTAGACTTGCACTGGCCCCTACTCTTTCCTCTTCTTCCCCTGCATCGATAGGCTTGTGGGAGTCCTCTGTATCCCCTGTACAGAGGATGGAAAGTGTAGACCAGGTTGATGCATAAATCATCACGGTGAGCTGACACCGTGCAGTCGTGCATGGACGCTGCATCAGCTCCCATTGACGGGTGGCCCTGAAAGGATATTGGGAATTCCTCCAAGCGGGGAGAACTTTGGGGTGTGCCTTGTGTGGACAGAGGCACTGCCACAGGCCCAGTTCTGCATGGACCCATCGTGGGTGCTCTTGCCAGGGACTTGTAAAGGATAAGAATATAAAATGCGGAGAGGGGAGTATGCAGAAGGTTCTCCCGAATGGGCGAGGGTGTGAACTACCCATGCCACACACAGGTGCCCACCAGAACACGTACATGGAACAGGGGGTCTAGTGTGGAACGGAAGTTCAGGACACTTCTTCCCCGTCAGAACTTGCACAGTGGGTCCAGGTGAAAAACGGCCATGGAGATGGTGCCTTGTATGGCTACAAAACAACCTGGCTTCACTCTCTCCCAAGAACTTGGCTGTTGGCTGTACTCGGTGCCAAACAGGGACAGGCAGAAGCCAATGCTAAGACCTTTTTAAATGACCTCCCTGTACAGGGCTGTCTGGTGTCAGGAAGCGGGTCGCTATCAGAACAGTGTCATCATGGAGAGGAGTAGGCTTTAGCTCCTAGCATGGGTGTGTTCCAGTTTGCGCTCCTCACCCTCTATTTAGTAGTTCTGCGGACACCACCACCATCCGAGAGCTTCGAGAGTGACCTTTCTGTTGCTACAGTGTCACATCAGTATTGCTTCCAGCTAGGGGATGTATTCAAAGCCAAAGGATGTGACATAAAGTGGTACCCATGGGACTTTCCCACTCACCCCACTTGAGTGATGCATGGCTTATCAGAATGTGGGATGGCCTGAGTGGCTCATGAGGCCACCAGATGAGACATCATAGCTAGAAATTGGACAGCTTGCTGTACACAGTAAACTAATCATGAAACTGTTGTCCCACTTCCTCCGTGGCCAAATGCATGGGTCTAGGACATACGAGAAGGATAAGAGTGTGTCCCTCCTACTGTTGCACCTGGCAACCTATAGAAAGATGTTTGCTTATATTCCCGGTGACCCTGTGCTTGTTTTTGTTGTTTGTTTTTTGAGACAGGTTCTCACTTTGTAACGCATATTGGCCTTGAACTCACTATGTAGCCCATGCTGGCCTTCAACTCACCACGATCTCTCTGCCTCAGCCTCCTGAGTGCTGGGATTACAGGCGTGCACCACCATACCTGTCTGTGGCCCTGTGGTTGTTTGGATGAAGAAGCCTCTCCGAGTTCTTACTGATAGAAAATACATGTGTCCTCAAGCTATTTTGGTCACCTCATCCGCTGAAACAACCAACCAAAACGAGGGCTGCCGTACTGATCAGTGAGTGAACCTGATTAACAGGAGGAGGTTGGGTTCATGTGTCAGGGAGACTGTTTGGAAGACAGGCAGACCCTTGGGAATTTTTTCCTCATTCACTGGAAAAGTATGACAAATCAATAGAGGCAAGATCATCCATTGCCCACTCCCCATATGAATGAAGATTTGGTTCGTGTATCAACATCCTGGCAGGTGGCAAGGTAGTACTGATGCGTATTAGAAGAAGGCAGCTCTGACTGCAGCCACGTACACAGCCAGGACTTCACAGCTGTTCTAGGTTTTCTCCTCGTCTTCCACTCACGGTGATGACTGGTGACCCATCACCTTATGAGCATGGCTTTATTGTCACTGTCACCCCACTTAGGATACTTGTGTGATAACTCACTGGATGTATATGGCTTCTGCACTAAGGACTCTGACTTCTGTGGACAGAGGAAAAAGGTGGGTGCTGAGGAGGAAAGGGTGAACTGTAGCTGACAATTTCTGGTTCCTTCTGCAGGTTCACTCTTTTCCCGTTACTCCTCTTCTCTGTGCTGTGTTTGGCTGACCTATGGGGACCACAGCAGCGAGATGTCCTGCTTTGTGTCTTCCACCTGGGGTGCAGCTAATGGCAGGGCCCCAACAGGAAAACACTGAGTGATCTTGAAATATTCGTTCCCAGCTTCCTCCCTGTGGTGTCACAGGCTGGATGTGTTTTTCAGCCTGAGATCAGAGGTTCTATATGGTAATTATTTCTAAAGCACTCTCATTCCAGCAGTGACTCCTTCTCTTCACCTTTTCAGGCCTAGGACTGTAGCAAAGACCCAACAGTAACAGCCCTAGGAAACTGTGCTAACCCTTTTGTTCTTGACTACTCTTACCCCTTACATCCATTACCCCCTGACCAGCCCATCTTCCAGTTACTCAGCTGAGATGAGCCCTTGGTTTGTGCTGGGAGCCTGGCCAATAAGGAAGACATTCGTGGTCACAGTGCACCTTCATCTCCCATGCCAAGGTGATGCCAAAATACTTCTGGCTACATCACCTTGAAGGCTGTGCTACCACCCAAGCTGGAATGAAGATGTGAACCAGACCATCAAAGGGCAGACCTTGGAGATTCTCTCTCTGAACTCCTTTTCTGTGTCATGTCCTGACTTCCCCTTATACAGAAATCTGAGTATTAGGAGAAAGGACACAGTCTTTATTACCAGACACACGTGGCCAGTACTTGAATGTCCCCTTTTCCACAGGGACAAGTTCAGCTGCTCCCAGGCTCTCCTGTATGTTATTATCAGGTGAAAGAGTGTGTAGGTGTGTGGAGACATGATAATTCATGGATGGGAAAATAACTTGGTGTCCCAGGCCAGGAGGCTATGAGGTTACAGGGTTCAGGTGGTCAGGTGGGGCTAAGGATCATGGAAAAATGGATTTAACAGGGAGGAGAAAACCCCACACCAAAGAGCTACAGATAGCCCCAGGCCCACTACCCAAGCCATGTAGCAGGCAGGGGCACCTCTATTTAGTAGAAGATGCTCTTTCATCTTTCCCTCAAAGTCCTCCTCCACAGAGAAGATCCCAATCTTCTGGACTTCATTCAATAAGGATCTGGAACTTTCAGGCATGCAGCCTTGAACGCCTAATGTGGCAGACAGTCCACCTAGATGGCGAAGACAGTCATGGAGGACACCTAAGTCCTCAGACCCAGGAGTCCAGCCCCTCGTCCTCCTACCTGAGTCACAGAAGTCCAAGCCTCAGCTCTCACTCTCTCAGGCCAGGAGCGCAGGCCCCCAGCCCTGCTCCCTCAGACTCAAGCTTCTAGATTCCTGGCCCTTCTTCCTCTCACCCAGGAGTCCAAGCATGAACTCGCCAACCTCAGCCCCAGGGGTCCAGGCCCCCAACCCTTTCCTTCAGAGCAGGGGTCTAGACCCTAGCCCTCCTCCTCAGACCCAGGAGTCCAGATTCCAGTCTTCCTCCTTCAGACCTGGAAGTTCAAGGTAGCATCTCTTAACTCACACCAAAGGACCTAGGTCCTGGCCATGCACCGGAGATCCATAATTTGGCCCTCTTCCCTCAGAACCAGGTGTTCAGGTCCTGGCCCCAACTACCTCACCCTGTGCTTCCTGTCACCAGCCTCTCCTCCCTCAAACCCCTGTGTCCAGGGTCCAGGCTACAGTCTCTTCCCTCAGATGCAGAGGTTCATTCCCCACCTTGTCTTCCCTCAGGTACAAGAGTCCAGTTCCCAACCCTTCCTCCCTTAGACCTAGGGATTAAGATCTCCAGCCCCTTGTCCCTCAGACCCATGGGTCCAGGCCTTAGCCCATATCCAGGAGTCCAGGCTGTAGCCCCTCATCCCTCAGACCCAGGAATTGAGGCTCCCAACTCCCCACTTTCAGACCCATGGGTCCAGACCCCAACACTTCTTTCACCAGGTACAGGATTCCAGTCCTCTGGCCTCTCCTCCCTCAGACCTAGGAGTTCAAACACCTATCCATTCTCTCTCAGACCCGAGTCCAGGCCCAGGAGTTTAAACCCAGCCCCTCCTTCCTTGGATGCAGATGCCCAGACACCAGCCTCCTTTCCTTAGTGGAAAGACCTTTTCTTTCCCATGCTACGGTCCTGGGTTCCATCCCCTTAGTCCCTGGGACCCACTCACCTCCTTGGACATAAATTTTGCCTGTATAACAGTGATTGATACCATTAGGGCAGGTAATGAAGTTGGAACCCTGTGAGCAGGATCCACCGAAATTCACACAGATAGGACACTGTTGGCTTCCTGGGACAGGAGCAGCTGGGAGACACAGAAGGCAGGGTGCTCAGCTCTACTCTCAGCTGCAGGTACTCAGCTTGAGCCCTGAGTGACTGTATTCCTCCTCCCTGGATCCCATACCTGGCCTGGGGAGCGAGTCCAGCAGGACGCTGCTGCTTTGGGCGCTGTTGCACAGGATGGAGGAGCAGAACCAGGCATAGGAGGCGACCAGCACTCCAGGGGGCCCGGAGTGAACGAGGACAGTGGGAGCATCCTGTCTCTGAGGACTGCTGCAGCCTTTGCTCCCTGCGAGGAGTGCTTTGTGTCCTGGGGTTGGGATAAAAGAGTAAAAGAAAGCTGGGCTGGAAAGAGTGAAAGAAAGCTGGGACGCTCTGAGGGCAGCTGGGGCTTTGGAGAGAAGGATTTGCATCCTGCGTACTCCCCCTGCCCTGCTGCTTCTTAGATCTCTTTCAAATGCTGCCTTGCCACAGAGCCTTCCCTGAGCACCTGTTGCAAAATTGCAGCTCTTGCCTTACCACTGTCCCTTTCTTACTTTCCTTGCTCAGTTCCTCTGCAGAGCTCTTTCCTGCATCCCCTTCGTTTATTCTCTGCGTGGTTTTTCTTCCTGTTTCCCCACTAGCATGTAAAGCTGCAGTAAGGCAGCGCAACAGGCTCTGTGGTTCCTAAGCTGGCAGATGGACTAAATCACCGAGGCTCCTCGGTCCCAGCTCTGTTGCCAGCCCTTAGTGAGTGAGGATGACCGAGTCTATCCTCACAACCGCCCAGCAGGGCAGGTACTGTCATTGCATTGCTTTGCTCCCAGTTTATGTCAAGAGAAACCAAGAGACAGAGAAGCATGGAGTTGGATTGAGACCTCCAGGCATGAGGAGAAACAGGTGGGAAATTCAGCGTGGAGAGGCACTGGACACAGTGGGGTGTGCTGTCCCCTCTCAGCACACACACCTACGTCTATGAGCAGCAGCGTCTCCTGACACACCTCCCCAGGTTTACAGTTCTCTTGCGCATTTGTCGTCCATTCCCTGGGTTCTTGAGACAAGCTTCTCGCCATCTGCAGCATGACCCCTCGATTACAGGTCAGAATAGCTGGGGAGAGGAAATCACCAGAGTCTTCATGAGCCAGGGAACCTACCGTATATGTACCTCCAGGTCCTGGGCTGGGGAAGGTGACCAAGTTGTGAATCACACTCCACGTTCCCTGGCTGTGGAGTCCCCCAGATCTGGAAGGAACTCAGAAGTCTTAGCTCTTCAGTGCCAACCCTGTTCACTCTGTTTCTGCCTGAACACATGCAGGGTTCACTTCCCATGGTCCTTTGAGGAGGTCAGCTTCTCCCTGTGAGTCTGAGAGCCACACTGGCTCATCCTTATCTCCATCCCAAACCTCTCTACGCAGGCTTCAGTGTTCTTCCCAGTATAATACTGGTAGCTGAGACCATAGGTTTCTTTTATTTTATTTATTTGTTTGTTTGTTTATTTTTTTGGTTTTTTTAGACAGGGTCTCACTATGTAGTTGAGACTGACCTGGAACTCACTGTGTGGCTCAGGCTGGTCTCGAGCTCACAGCGATCCTCCTGCCTCAGCCTCCCAAGGGCTGGGATTACAGATGTGCACCACCACTCCCGGCTCATAGGTTTCTTTTAAACTGGAAACCAAATGTTGTTCTAAACAAAAACTGCTCAAATGTCTAGTGTATACTAAGTACTTGCTTAATACTCAGCTATAGTAATTTCTGTCAGTGGATTAGGCCCTTTGATCTTCATCTTTGACTGGATTGTCTCATTTCCTCATGATATCCCCTGAAGTAGGTGGAACCATTATCATCAGCATCCCCAAACCAGCAAAACAGAAGCAAAGGACTTGTTGAGTAGCTTGCCCAGGGTCACACAGACAGTAAATGACAGAGTTGCCTGGGAACTTGGGTGTTCTGGCTCCTTTTGCTCAGGGTTGGGATGGATGCTGTAATTCAGTCACTGTGACCGTCTTCATCTGTCTTGGTCCTAGTGGTCCACTGGAGTTGAGTTTGAGACTGAGTTTTGGCTTCTGCTTGAACAGTGACATGCCCCAGGATGCAAATACTCTTGGCTCTCAGACTCAGTGGCCATAAACTCATGTAAACTTTGCAGCAGTCCCATGATAAAGGGCTTCTCATTTCTAACTTCGACACATGACAAAATTATGTCTCTGCTTTCCCTTCTCTTAGAGCCGGGCCTTTGCTCTCCTTGCCTCACTCCTGCCTCCCTTCTTCCACATCTTGGTCAACAGCAACTCTTTTCTTCCAGTTGCTCAAACTGAAACATTACATTCATTACCACCAATTCTTCCTCTCACACCCATGTTTCATCTCTCAGGAAATCCTTTGGGCTTATGCTGCAAGACGTCTCCAGAACCTGACTATCAGCCGCCATTTCTACTGCTTCCTCCCGGGTCAGAGGTCTCATGGGCTCTCCCTCGCCCCCCTGATGAGTCACATGTGCTGCCTCTAAGCCCCTCTCTGGTCCCTCACCCTATTTCTTAACCAATAGCCACAGGGATCCTTTCTAAAGGAAAGTCAGTCAACCAATCCCCTGCTCAGAAGGTTCCCATGGTTCCCAAACCATTCAGTATAAAAGTCTTGGTCCTTAAAGCGGCCCTGTGTGTCCTGGCCTCCCCCTCCTTCATCATCCACACAATCCGTTCTCATCTGTCTTGGTCACAGCTCCGTCTGGACCATCCTTTGGGCTAGGAGGTGCAACACAATGTCAGGGAACAAGTGGAGAATGAGGCATTCCGGGGGGGGGGATCGAAACTGCGCAGGCAAATGAATGGGGTATGGAAAACGGGTGCAAGAGCTCAGATTATACACCTGGGGCGTGACTGTAGCCTGTATTTGGGAAAAGCCAAGACCTAGACTGGCCTCCTAAGGAAGTAGTCAGGGTTCTGGTGAGAGTGGAGGGTCAGCACAGCCAAGGACTTTCCTTCCGCCTCAGGACCTCTGCATGCGCTCCCCTCCTTGTGTCTAGAACAAATCCCAGTGTTATGAGCTTTGTAACATGTGCATAGTGTGCAGAAGGGTCTGCATGAGATGTTGCGATTTCTAACACTCAACTGATGCTAGGACTTGAGAGCTGGTTCACTGGCAGAGCAAGTGATAAAGATACCGCTTTATCGCTCTGATAAAGATACCAGGCTCTTAACTTTAATGCTTAAAGCTAGTAGATCATGGATCTATATTAAGAACATTTAGTTGTAGCATAGTAGCTGTGTTCTGCGCAACACGTATGTGGTTTGTGTATACCGTTGTGTGGAAGCCGGTGTGGAATGTGAGGGGTGCATGCATGTTGTATGTGTGTTATGATATAGCCTGTGATATGTGGGGTATGTGTCATGTGTGTTCGGCGGGGTGGGTCTTCTGTGTATCTGTGTTTTGTTTGTGTGTGGTGTATACGGCATGTAGTATGTGTTCGGTATTTTGTGCACTGAGCGCCCCTTTTGGAATTTACAAGGTCTGTAGCAGATGTTCAGTTTATGAGGGGCACATGTGGGGGGCAGATGTGCACTGTGTGATGCGTGATGCGTATGAGGAATAGTACGATGCGGACTTGTGCTGGTTATGTTTCTTGTGTCTTGTGTGTGCGTCTGTATTTCTAAAATGCCTTGTAGGTAATGACTGTTACCCATCCTCAGAGATGAGGGCCAGACCCTTAGAACCAACATGAAACAACAGCAAACAAAATGTTCCAGACTCTGTCCCCGCATCGGCCTGCCATCGCTCCACCCCTCAGCCTGCCTTTGCTCCACCTGCACTGGTCCACGGTTCTGGACGAATCTTCATTTCCCACACACCCTCGTTGTCATAAACATCACCAGAACATTATTGTCTTCTTCTGAGCCACATTATCTTCTCCTCTGTCACAGCTCCCATCACACGAAGCCATGTCTCTCCCAACCCTGCCCAGGGACACTTTTAGGCAGGGCAAGGTCTGACTGGTCTGAGGGATTCTGGGAGACCCTGAGATCCAGCTCGATTTCCCTTAACATATCTGTCCAGGGAATTCAACCCAAGATTTGTTGGATGAACTCACTCTGCTCACTCTAACGTGACACACAGGTGAGGACACTGGGGCAGGAACAGGGAAAAGAGGCCTCTGTCTCACCTCCCTTTCCCACCCCAACTTTCTTTTCCCTGCAACTGCCCTTATTGAGACAATCCAGGTACTTTGCATCTGTAAGGTGGATCCAGCAAAAGCCACACTTTGCACACACTTGAGTAATTAACATCTACGCTACTTGAGGCTGTTGACTTGGGGATGAAGTCTTTTTGTGTCTAGTGACAAGCATTGTCTTCCCTATGGCCACCGCCTTGTTTTCCATTTGTCACTCACCTGCTCTAGGGCTACAGTTCTCACTCACATCCAGGGACCCGATGACCTGGGTCCCATTGAGCAGGTTGCAGCCTGGCTGGGGCATACAGCCCTGGACTCTCAGATTGGTGGCGATGCCCCCTGAGAAGGAAGGACAGGGAGACCGACAGAGATGCTGACCTCCTGGACCACCCAGTTTTCAGAGCGAAGGCCAACCCCACCCTCCTCTGAGGCCCATGTCCTCCCCCAACTGAAATTTGCTTTTCAGAGACACATCTCAGTTCCCAGTGGTCCCAGTTCCGTCCCCATTAGACCCGAATGTCCAGGCTTACCTCCTCCCAACCTGACCACTCCCTTGTAGCAGTGAGTGTACCCTGCTGGGCAGATGTGCTGTGGGGCATTTTCTGGGCAGTCATTTCTAGACAAGCAGGCCGGACACAGCAGGGACCCTGGGACTGGAGAGGGACCAGATAGAGTGAGGGACATGGACCAGGCTCTCTTTAGCCCCCACACACCTGTGCTGGTCCAAACACCAACCTCTACCCTCACAATGCCCTCCGGGGACTCACTCTTGCAGCTGCAAGGAATTGCGGATGTGTAACTAGTGAGAGAGAAGGAGTCACAGGGAACGTGAGCTCCTGAGAGATGCCTGGGCTGGGCACAAGAGGGCTGCTGGGAAACAAGGAGGCAGTGGAACAGGGCCCTTTTGAGGTTAAACACAGGCACAGCCTTGGCCAAGGTGGCACGGGGGCCCCTGGAGGAAACCACTGGCTTCCTCCACAAGTTTACTAAATACTCCAGGTAGATAAGATGTTCTCTTCACAGACTATTCCAGAGGATAACACCACAAAACATTGCCCCAAACTCTAACACCAGGCTGGGAAAGAGAACATCACAGCCCAGCACTGCAGCGGAGGGTACAGAAACAGCCCCAGTGAGATAGGACTGAACCGAACCAAGCAGTATAGGGAGGACTGGAAAGAGAGCACATCACCATTGCGGCCAGCGGCTGAATTGCTGCCCCAGTACCCACAGCCAAGTTTGGAGCCCCAGCACTGTGCGGGAAAGCGGTGGGGAGAATAGACGGGAGGGGGCGGAGCAGGGGAGAGCGACCCAGGAAGAGATGCAGAGTGAGGAGCCGGGGAAGGAGGCTGCAGAGGAGCAGTCGGAGGGCTCTGCTAGCCCTGAGCTAGCAGAGCTGCTTTTCAGCCACAGTGTCTGTAAATAACCAGCCCTGGGCTCGCGTCAGCCCTCAGCCCGACTGTCCTCTTGATTCTCCATTCCCTCTCTCCCTGCGGGATTCCTGCCTACCTCTGGCACCTTCGGACGCAGGTGGGGTCCAGAAAGCCTCTGTGGTAGACAGGTCATTGCAGAAGTCCCTATGGCGGCACACTCGGGTGTAGGAGACCACAGACAGCCCGGGGCCAGCCCTGTGCCAGGTGACTCGGGGCTCCTGGTCCTGTGCCTTAGTGCAGCCCTTGTTGATCACCACGTTCGCTTGGGGCCCTGGGTGGAGACACGGAGGCGGGTTGGGTGGTGTCCAGGGCTCTAGGGTGCTAGAGAGAATGTGGGGATCATGCGGTGGGTGAGATCAGGAGCGGCAGGACCTGGGCCCCCACAGGGCTGCAGCTGCTGCTATAGAGGTGATGCTATCCCTGCTGTTGGGGGAGGGATCCCAGCGGTCCTGCTGGGATCTAGGGCTGGGCTGAGCGGGAAGGTACAGATCTCAGCACTTCAGTGGCCCTTCTCACCGTTCACTATGAGAACCACAGTTTCTTGGCACCCCTCGCCAATCCCACAGGCCTGCCAGCCAGTTGTCCAGTGTACTGGAAGATCTGAAACATCTGTTGTGGTTTCTGTGTTTCCTTTCTTGCATTCCAGAATCTCCATACCTAGGGTGCAAAGAGTTGAGCAACACAGGATGCAGGAGAGTTGAACGGGTTTCTCTGCCCAACCTCTGGGGAAATCCACTCGAAGGTCAGGTTCCCATTTACAGGGAGCAACAAGCTGACTTCCCTTAGCCAGCCAGTAGCTGCGGGAGGCTGGAGACCTAGCTGTGAGCGACAGGCAGCTCTCACGAGGGAGACAGACTGAGACCCCACAGGAGGACGTTTGCTGATCTCACTCTGCTCTGTCCTTGAAGCTCTAAGGGTTACAGAGATGCGGGCAGATGGGGAAACTGGGTCAGGGAGAGGGGAGAACATGCTCTCAGCAGGGAAGCCAGGACTCCAGTTTCTTTCTCTTCTCCAGCCTCTGACCCCACTTCTCCTGCGAGCCTTCCTACGAGTGTTCTCTGTGACCGTGCAGCTGTCTGCTGTGTGCCTGTCTGGCTGCAGAAAGTGGCTGAGTGAGGACTCCTCCCCCAGAACGTGTGTGTGACTCTGCTTCTCTTTGGTCAAAGCTAAAGCCCCAGCAAGTCTCTCCCTCTCCTCCCCTCTCCTCTCTCCTGTGCAGCCGGGCTACTAGGCTGCTCCAGGACTGTAGGGAGGAAAGAGGACGGTAGAGAGAAAGGGGTGGGGACGGTAGGGAAAGGCAAGTGGGAGAGCCAGGGCCACCCAAGCTCAGGGATACGTGGAGTAGAAGTGGAGGCAGCCGGTCACCCTGAGCATCGTTACAACAAGAAGTGCTTCTCCAGTCACATCTGCAGGGTCCCATTCAGAGCCACAAAGCCCTGACTTTCCCACTCACCCCCCTGAGCGCAAGGACAGGCCACTTCGATTCAGCTGGTCCCGCAACACTTAAAAATGCTTCCAGTGGGATCCTGTCCTGTCCGTAGGCCCCCCGGCCACACTTGCTCTCCCTGTCTCCTTCACCTGCACACGTACGTCATGAAGCACAGTGCCTTGCAATCCAGGAAGCCCCTCACTTAGCCTGAGTGAACATCGCCATCCGTAGGGTTGTTGGCTTTGATGTGATGAGTCCGCAAGCTTGCAGGTTCCACACTTTTAAGCACCGTCTTCCCCAACCCAGCAGCGCAGCCCACAGCCCAGTCTTCCCGTGTGGGACTCACCTGACCTGGGTCTGCAGTTCTCACTCACATCCAGGGACCCGATGACCTGGGTCCCATTGAGCAGGTTGCAGCCTGGCTGGGGCATACAGCCCTGGACTCTCAGATTGGTGGCAATGCCCCCTGAGAAGGAAGGACAGGGAGACCGACAGAGATGCTGAGCTCCTGGACCACCCGGTTCTCAGAGCGAAGGCCAACCCCACCCTCCTCTGAGGCCCATGTCCTCCCCCAACGGAAACTTGCTTTTCAGAGACTCACATCTCAGTTCCCAGTGGTCCCCGTTCTGTCCCCCTAGGCCCCGAGATCATTCACAGGGAGAAACAAGCTGACTTCCCTTAGCCAGCCAGTAGCTGCGGGAGGCTGGAGACCTAGCTGTGAGCCACAGGCAGCTCTCACGAGGGAGACAGACTGAGACCCCACAGGAGGACGTTTGCTGATCTCACTCTGCTCTGTCCGTGAAGCTCTAAGGGTTACAGAGATGTGGGCAGATGGGGAAACTGGGTCAGGGAGAGGGGAGAACATGCTCTCAGCAGGGAAGCCAGGACTCCAGTTTCTTTCTCTTCTCCAACCTCTGACCCCACTTCTCCTGCGAGCCTTCCTACGAGTGTTCTCTGTGACCGTGCAGCTGTCTGCTGTGTGCCTGTCTGGCTGCAGAAAGTGGCTGAGTGAGGACTCCTCCCCCAGAACGTGTGTGTGACTCTGCTTCTCTTTGGTCAAAGCTAAAGCCCCAGCAAGTCTCTCCCTCTCCTCCCCTCTCCTCTCACCTGTGCAGCCGGGCTACTAGGCTGCTCCAGGACTGTAGGGAGGAAAGAGGACGGTAGAGAGAAAGGGGTGGGGACGGTAGGGAAAGGCAAGTGGGAGAGCCAGGGCCACCCAAGCTCAGGGATACGTGGAGTAGAAGTGGAGGCAGCCGGTCACCCTGAGCATTGTTACAACAAGAAGCGCTTCTCCAGTCACACCTGCACGGTCCCATTCAGAGCCACAAAGCCCTGACTTTCCCACTCACCCCCCTGAGCGCAAGGACAGGCCACTTCGATTCAGCTGGTCCCGCAACACTTAAAAATGCTTCCAGTGGGATCCTGTCCTGTCCGTAGGCCCCCCGGCCACACTTGCTCTCCCTGTCTCCTTCACCTGCACACGTACGTCATGAAGCACAGTGCCTTGCAATCCAGGAAGCCCCTCACTTAGCCTGAGTGAACATCGCCATCCGTAGGGTTGTTGGCTTTGATGTGATGAGTCCGCAAGCTTGCAGGTTCCACACTTTTAAGCACCGTCTTCCCCAACCCAGCAGCGCAGCCCACAGCCCAGTCTTCCCGTGTGGGACTCACCTGACCTGGGTCTGCAGTTCTCACTCACATCCAGGGACCCGATGACCTGGGTCCCATTGAGCAGGTTGCAGCCTGGCTGGGGCATACAGCCCTGGACTCTCAGATTGGTGGCAATGCCCCCTGAGAAGGAAGGACAGGGAGATGGACAGAGATGCTGACCTCCTGGACCACCCAGTTCTCAGAGCGAAGGCCACCCCCACCCTCCTCTGAGGCCCATGTCCTCCCCCAACGGAAACTTGCTTTTCAGAGACTCACATCTCAGTTCCCAGTGGTCCCCGTTCTGTCCCCCTAGGCCCCGAGTGTGCAGGCTTACCTCCCCTGAGCTTGAGCACTCCCTTGTAGCAGTGAGTGTACCCTGCTGGGCAGATGTGCTGGGGGGCATTTTCTGGGCAGTCCCCGTTAGAAAAGCAGAGGGCGCACCGCAGGCTCCCTGGGACTGGAGAGGGGACAGACAGTGAGGGGCACTGAGAGGGCTCTGGATAGCAGCAGGTGTCTTGCCTGCCCCTGGCTATTCTGGTTCAGGTAACGCAGTCTGCTCAGTCTCCACCCCCTCACCTACATGTTCTCAGTGGTGCTTCGCATGCAGGCCTGGCTGCAGGGAACTAGGGATGTGTGAGCAGTGAGTGCGCAGGGGCCAGAAGGAATGTGCGCTCCTGAGGGGCACCTGGCAGAGTGCAGGAGGATGCTGGGAAACCCCGAGGGAGAAGAGGGAAGGGGTCTTCTCATGCTGGACCCACCCAGCCTTGGCCAGGGAAGGGAGAGGGTGTCCTGGAAGAAACCACTGGCTTCCCCCAGGAGTTCTGCTGAACCATTCGCATAGATGCGGCGCCCTGTTCAGAAAATACTGCAGAGGGGAAAAGCACAACATTGCCCCCACTCTCATGCAACACCGTGCTGGGACAGAGGAACATGACAGGCCGGCTCTTCAAGAAGAGGAAATAGAAAAGCCCTCACGGAGGTAGCGCTGAACCAAACCCAGAGGTACGGGAAGAAGGACTGTGCAGCCCGCCCACGCGAGGATCACGGTCAGAGGCTGACCTGCTGCTTTCATATCAGGAAACCAACCACGTTTGTGCTCAGGAATGTTGGAAGAAGCTGGCAGGGGGTGACTGAGGCGCATGTGGGCAGCACAGTGGGGGCTGGGGAGGAGTAAGGAGGAGCTGAAAAGTGAGGGCCCGGAAGGGTCCAGAGAAGGAAGGAGCAGGGGAGCAGCCAGGGAAGGGTGTAGCCAGTGAGCCAGCCGCGCTGCTGTTCAGCGGTAGGGTGCCTGTGAGCAGACAGCCCCCACCCTGTGTGCTCACGTGGACCCCTCAGCCTTGCGCCCTTCCCTCCGGACAGCCCTGCCCGGCCTCCTCCATCACTCCCGCCTCCCTAGGTACCTGCGTCAGAAGGTGAGGTCCAGAGTGGGACTGTGGAGGACAGGTCATTGCAGAAGTCTCTGTGGCGGCACACGCGGGTGTAGGAGGTGATGGAGAGCCCAGGTCCTGCCCTGTGCTCGGTGACTTTGGCCTCTTGGTCCTCTCGTGTCGTGCAGCCCTTGGAGAGCACCAAGTTCACTTGGGGGCCTGCGTGGACAGAGGATAGCAGGCAGGGATCGAATGTGGGTTGTGGGTATCTAGAGGGAAAAGTTGGGCATGATAAGATGGGTGAGATGCTGGCGCAGAGGGTACTGGCCCCCAGGGGTTTGCACCTGCTTAAGGAGGAATTCGGTTCTGAGTACTGTGGTGGGAACCTCTGGACTCTGTGGTAGGGATCTTTCGTGAGGGAATGATCGGGTGGAACAGCTCCTAGCAAGGGGGTCCCCCTCACCGTTCTTTATGAGCATCACTGTTTCTTGGCAACCATCACCAACGTCACAGGTTATCTCCCCAGCCGTCCATTTGAGCGGCAGTTCTGAAGCATCCCTCACGATCTGTAATGTACCCCAATTACAGTCTCTTCTGTGTGCACCTGTTAGACAGGGATAATAAGTCCATTTGAGCAGCTTTCCTTGTTAGGCCTCACAATACTAAGGCATCCCAGGACAGGAGCAGAAGTCCTCTCCAGTTAAGGTCTAAGCCTCACTCTCTGAGATTCTGCAGCTTGAAAGGCTTAGACAGCAGTGACTTGTCTTCTCTCAACTGAGGAGTTCAGGCCCTCAGGCCCTCCTCCCTGAAACCCAGAATCTAGGCTCCCAGATGTCTCCACAATTAGAAACGAAGTTATCCTGAGCCCCGCAATTCCAGCGTTCACACCCCTCATCCTCTTTTCTTCTTGTGCCCTAGTTTTGTGTGTCCCCTTCCCACGCTGTCTCATTGTAGCCTGAGTGCAGTTTCCTCATGTCACAGCATCCTGGCCTCCCTCTAGCTCCAGGGTCCTAACTGCTCCACTGCCTGTGAGTGCACTGTCCAGTCTGCTGCGGCTTGTCTCAGTTATTCTGCCCTAGTCCCTGCCTCCAACTGTCCTCCCACTTCTCTCCAGCTTTCCATCCTGTATCACCTTTCTGTTTATTCCCCTTTTCATGATTCTTGAGATTTCCTTCTTTTCTCACTCCTTACAATACAATGTAGTCCGTGGAGTTCCTTCTGGGAGGGAGTGGAGCTATACCGTAGGTAGGTGCAGGGGACAGCAGTACTGATTATGCCCCCAGCGCAGGCTGTAAGCAGTGCAGGCTGTAAAGAGTTGATCCCACAATTGTCTTGTTAGTAGAAGAGAGTCCAGCCAAAGCCTACATGCAGAGGTCAGAGTAACTTACACCCAAATTCTATTCCCACAACGAAAACCTTCTTAACTAGAAGGACAATGTTCTAATTACAACTATATATTTTGTCTATTCTGTTCCTAATTTGAGAATGCTTTGTCCTACCCTTTTTGAAGCTTACTTACATTAAATTTTATAGAAACCACACAATTGCATGTCTTTCCATGTAGTTGTGCCCTTGCATGTAGCTCACCCTTACCCCAATTGATTACCAATAAAAATCAGTAGCTTGACTGGACAGTGCCTTTGTCAGTTGCACTAGCATGGGCTGTCCTGGATCCCTGCTTTAAGCCTTTCTTAGTTCTGTCTTTTAGTTTTTTTTCCCTCAGGCTGTGTTGTACACTGGGCAGGAGACTGGAGCCTACAGCAGAGGTTTCCAGTAATGTTTCAGGGGTCCCTAGTAGGAAGGGGGAGGAAATGGAGGCCCAACATCTATAAAGAGTTATATTCCTTGACAGTGCAAGATTTCTTTGCCACAAAGAGATTGGAAAGGTGGTATACTAGAAAACTAGCTTTTCAAAAAAAAGAATATGACCACAAATGTTTACTCATTTTTGTTATGTGAATCTTCCCAATACATAATGCAACCAAAAAGTCAACCCATTCCCAAAATTTCTCCATATTTAACAACTTCCCAAGCCCAAGCAAACCACCACTGTGGGTAGTTACAAGACAAGGAGGAGTAAGGGCTCTCTGTCAGTGCCTGCAGAGGCTACATGCAGATGTGTGTGAAACTGGAGAGGAAAGAGATGGAGGGTGGCACAATAGCAGAGGAGACAGAGAAGTGAATAGCTATGCACTTGTTTTTGACATCTATATACTTTTTTTTTTTTTTTTGAGTCAGGGTCTCACTATGTAGTTGAGACTGACCTGGACCTCACTGTGTAGCCCAGGCTGGTCTCAAACTCACAGCGATCCTCCTGCCTCACTCAGCCTCCTGAGTGCTGGGATTACAGGCGTGCGCCATCACGCCCAGCCATTGTATTTTTATTTGTGCTTGAAATTTTAATATCTGCCACACAGTCAGGGATATGTGTTTCTTATCTCCTGCTGGGTGTATATCACCTACATGCCATGGAGTCCACTGCCATGGAAAAACTGATAAATTCCCTACAGTCTCTACTGCTCCCCTCTTGCACACCAGGGCCTGCACACCTGTGATCAAAGGAGCAAATCTCCTGCCATATTGGTGTAACACCAGTGTAACACCCAGCCCATGTCCCCAGGACTCTCAGACTCACCAGGGAGATAGATTGAAACACAAATCAGAATGCTTGCTCTCTCCTTGAAGCTTTTAGAGGTACAGTGATAAAGAAAGATAAGAATGAGTCATTGAGAAGTAGACAATGCTCCCAGGGAAGCCGGGATTCCTATCTCGCCTCATTTCCTCTCCAGACTTCACTTTGCCGTGCAACGCTTCTAAATAAAACACTCTAAGACACTGTCCATCTGTCGGGTGTGTGTCAGCCTGGCTGCTCAACCTCCCCTGGAGGTTCCACGTAACACTGCCCTCTTTCAAACCCGAAGCCACGTTGATTTTATCTCTGATCTTCTCTCCTGTACCACAAGGCCACTGGGGTGCTCTAGAACTATGGGTGGAGATCGCTGAGAATGACAGTAGCTGGGGAAAGCGGAAGACCCAGGGTTATTGCAAGCTCAGGGGAATAGAGAATTAGAAGTGGCAGAAATCAATCATCCTGGCCATGACAACGAGCAGGTGGCTCTGCGGTGAGGGCTACACAAACTCACAGGCAAAGTCACTTTGCACATTTAACCTTGCTCCCCACCAACCAGCGGACCTGGACAGTCCACTCTAATGAGATTATTTAAAGTAGACAGTCCACTCTAATTTAGTTGGTGTAGGATCATTTAAAATGCTACCATTTGGGGCTGGGGATTTAGCTCAGTGGTTCTAGCACCTGCCTCGCAAGCACAAGGTCCCAAGTTTGGTCCCTGGTACCGTAAATAAATAATAAAATGCTACCAGTGGGATCCTTTCCTATACATCTGTCCCCTGAACTACATTTCTACTCTCTGTCCTTCATCTGGACACATCATGCTGGCACTCTGTGATCCAGGGAAGCCCTCACTTTGCATGTGCCTGAGTGATTTCTAAACATCTACGCAACTAAGAGGTGCTGGCTTTGTATGATACTTTCCAAAGTCCCGTAGTGACCATCAACTTCCCCAAGCTGCACTGCAGTCCTCTGCCTTGGTTTCCCAGTGGGACTCACCGGATTTTGAATTGCACTTTTCACTCACACCTATAGGCCCAATTTTCTGGGTTCCATTAAACAGGTTGCAGCCTGGCTGGGGCATACAGCCCTGCACTCTCAGATGGGTGAAGATGCCCCCTGAGAAAAGGACAAAGGGACAGTCAGAGATGCTGACCCCGAGGACCACCCAGTTCTCAAGGTGAAGCTCATCTCCAGGAGGCCAGCCCCGCCATCCTCTGAGTCCCATGCCCTCCCTCAGCTTATCTTGAATCCACAGAGACTCAGATCTGTGTTGCCAGAGCTCCCCGTTAATCCCCATAGACCCCGAATGTCCAGGCTTACCGCCCCTGAGGCTGACCACTCCATTGTAGCAGTGAGTGAACCCTGCTGGGCAGATCTGCTGGGGGGCATTTTCTGGGCAGTCATGATTAGAAAGGCAGATGGGGCACTGTTGGCTCCCTGGGAATAGAGAAGGGACGGAGTGAGGCTCTGATTAAAACCACATCCTTACTCCTCACCTGGCTGTGCTGGTCCAAATCACCGGCCTCCACAGGCCCCCCGCTCATCCTCACACATGCCCGCCCAGGGCTCACTCTTGCTGGTTCAGCTGCAAGGAATTGCGGATGTGTGACTAGTGAGAGAGAAGGAGCCACAGGGAACGTGAGCTCCTGAGAGATGCCTGGGCCGGGCACAAGAGGGCTGCTGGGAAACAAGGAGGCAGTGGAACAGGGGCCTTTTGAGGTTAAACACAGGCACAGCCTTGGCCATGGTGGCCCGGGGGGCCCTGAAGGAAACCACTGGCTTCCTCCACAAGTTTACTGAATACTCCAGGTAGATAAGATGTTCTCTTCACAGACTATTCCGGAGGATAACGCCACAAAACATTGCCCCAAACTCTATAACACCAGGCTGGGAAAGAGAACATCACAGCCCAGCACTGCAGCGTCTGTAAATAACCAGCCACAGTGTCTGTAAATAACCAGCCCTGGGCTCGCGTCAGCCCTCAGCCCTACTGTCCTCTTGATTCTCCATTCCCTCTCTCCCTGTGGGATTCCTGCCTACCTCTGGCACCTTCGGACGCAGGTGGGGTCCAGAAAGCCTCTGTGGTAGACAGGTCATTGCAGAAGTCCCTATGGCGGCACACTCGGGTGTAGGAGACCACAGACAGCCCGGGGCCAGCCCTGTGCCAGGTGACTCGGGGCTCCTGGTCCTGTGCCTTAGTGCAGCCCTTGTTGATCACCACGTTCGCTTGGGGCCCTGGGTGGAGACACGGAGGCAGGTTGGGTGGTGTCCAGGGCTCTAGGGTGCTAGAGAGAATGTGGGGATCATGCGGTGGGTGAGATCAGGAGCGGCAGGACCTGGGCCCCCACAGGGCTGCAGCTGCTGCTATAGAGGTGATGCTATCCCTGCTGTTGGGGGAGGGATCCCAGCGGTCCTGCTGGGATCTAGGGCTGGGCTGAGCGGGAAGGTACAGATCTCAGCACTTCAGTGGCCCTTCTCACCGTTCACTATGAGAACCACCGTTTCTTGGCACCCCTCGCCGATCCCACAGGCCTGCCAGCCAGTTGTCCAGTGTACTGGAAGATCTGAAACATCTCTGATGGTTTCTATGTTTCCCTTCTTGCATTCCAGAATCTCCATACCTAGGGTGCAAAGAGTTGAGCAACACAGGATGCAGGAGAGTTGAACGGGTTTCTCTGCCCAACCTCTGGGGAAATCCACTCGAAGGTCAGGTTCCCATTTACAGGGAGCAACAAGCTGACTTCCCTTAGCCAGCCAGTAGCTGCGGGAGGCTGGAGACCTAGCTGTGAGCGACAGGCAGCTCTCACGAGGGAGACAGACTGAGACCCCACAGGAGGACGTTTGCTGATCTCACTCTGCTCTGTCCGTGAAGCTCTAAGGGTTACAGAGATGTGGGCAGATGGGGAAACTGGGTCAGGGAGAGGGGAGAACATGCTCTCAGCAGGGAAGCCAGGACTCCAGTTTCTTTCTCTTCTCCAACCTCTGACCCCACTTCTCCTGCGAGCCTTCCTACGAGTGTTCTCTGTGACCGTGCAGCTGTCTGCTGTGTGCCTGTCTGGCTGCAGAAAGTGGCTGAGTGAGGACTCCTCCCCCAGAACGTGTGTGTGACTCTGCTTCTCTTTGGTCAAAGCTAAAGCCCCAGCAAGTCTCTCCCTCTCCTCCCCTCTCCTCTCACCTGTGCAGCCGGGCTACTAGGCTGCTCCAGGACTGTAGGGAGGAAAGAGGACGGTAGAGAGAAAGGGGTGGGGACGGTAGGGAAAGGCAAGTGGGAGAGCCAGGGCCACCCAAGCTCAGGGATACGTGGAGTAGAAGTGGAGGCAGCCGGTCACCCTGAGCATTGTTACAACAAGAAGCGCTTCTCCAGTCACACCTGCACGGTCCCATTCAGAGCCACAAAGCCCTGACTTTCCCACTCACCCCCCTGAGCGCAAGGACAGGCCACTTCGATTCAGCTGGTCCCGCAACACTTAAAAATGCTTCCAGTGGGATCCTGTCCTGTCCGTAGGCCCCCCGGCCACACTTGCTCTCCCTGTCTCCTTCACCTGCACACGTACGTCATGAAGCACAGTGCCTTGCAATCCAGGAAGCCCCTCACTTAGCCTGAGTGAACATCGCCATCCGTAGGGTTGTTGGCTTTGATGTGATGAGTCCGCAAGCTTGCAGGTTCCACACTTTTAAGCACCGTCTTCCCCAACCCAGCAGCGCAGCCCACAGCCCAGTCTTCCCGTGTGGGACTCACCTGACCTGGGTCTGCAGTTCTCACTCACATCCAGGGACCCGATGACCTGGGTCCCATTGAGCAGGTTGCAGCCTGGCTGGGGCATACAGCCCTGGACTCTCAGATTGGTGGCAATGCCCCCTGAGAAGGAAGGACAGGGAGATGGACAGAGATGCTGACCTCCTGGACCACCCAGTTCTCAGAGCGAAGGCCACCCCCACCCTCCTCTGAGGCCCATGTCCTCCCCCAACGGAAACTTGCTTTTCAGAGACTCACATCTCAGTTCCCAGTGGTCCCCGTTCTGTCCCCGTAGGTCCCGAGTGTACAGGCTTACCTCCCCTGAGCTTGAGCACTCCCTTGTAGCAGTGAGTGTACCCTGCTGGGCAGATGTGCTGGGGGGCATTTTCTGGGCAGTCCCCGTTAGAAAAGCAGAGGGCGCACCGCAGGCTCCCTGGGACTGGAGAGGGGACAGACAGTGAGGGGCACTGAGAGGGCTCTGGATAGCAGCAGGTGTCTTGCCTGCCCCTGGCTATTCTGGTTCAGGTAACGCAGTCTGCTCAGTCTCCACCCCCTCACCTACATGTTCTCAGTGGTGCTTCGCATGCAGGCCTGGCTGCAGGGAACTAGGGATGTGTGAGCAGTGAGTGCGCAGGGGCCAGAAGGAATGTGCGCTCCTGAGGGGCACCTGGCAGAGTGCAGGAGGATGCTGGGAAACCCCGAGGGAGAAGAGGGAAGGGGTCTTCTCATGCTGGACCCACCCAGCCTTGGCCAGGGAAGGGAGAGGGTGTCCTGGAAGAAACCACTGGCTTCCCCCAGGAGTTCTGCTGAACCATTCGCATAGATGCGGCGCCCTGTTCAGAAAATACTGCAGAGGGGAAAAGCACAACATTGCCCCCACTCTCATGCAACACCGTGCTGGGACAGAGGAACATGACAGGCCGGCTCTTCAAGAAGAGGAAATAGAAAAGCCCTCACGGAGGTAGCGCTGAACCAAACCCAGAGGTACGGGAAGAAGGACTGTGCAGCCCGCCCACGCGAGGATCACGGTCAGAGGCTGACCTGCTGCTTTCATATCAGGATACCAACCACGTTTGTGCTCAGGAATGTTGGAAGAAGCTGGCAGGGGGTGACTGAGGCGCATGTGGGCAGCACAGTGGGGGCTGGGGAGGAGTAAGGAGGAGCTGAAAAGTGAGGGCCCGGAAGGGTCCAGAGAAGGAAGGAGCAGGGGAGCAGCCAGGGAAGGGTGTAGCCAGTGAGCCAGCCGCGCTGCTGTTCAGCGGTAGGGTGCCTGTGAGCAGACAGCCCCCACCCTGTGTGCTCACGTGGACCCCTCAGCCTTGCGCCCTTCCCTCCGGACAGCCCTGCCCGGCCTCCTCCATCACTCCCGCCTCCCTCGGTACCTGCATCAGAAGGTGAGGTCCAGAGTGGGACTGTGGAGGACAGGTCATTGCAGAAGTCTCTGTGGCGGCACACGCGGGTGTAGGAGGTGATGGAGAGCCCAGGTCCTGCCCTGTGCTCGGTGACTTTGGCCTCTTGGTCCTCTCGTGTCGTGCAGCCCTTGGACAGCACCAACTTCACCTGGGGGCCTGCGTGGACAGAAGGTGGCAGGCAGGGTTGGAATCTAGGCTCTAGACTTCTAGAGGGTGGGTTGGCATGGTCAGCTGGGTGAGATTTTGATAGGAGTGGACGTTCCTCTGGAACCCTCACTATGGCTGCTGGCAGCAGAAGTGCTGCTCCTGGGAGACAGCTCTTGGCCAGGAGGACCCCTTCTCACCATTTTCTACGAGTACCAGTGTTTCTTGGCAACCTTCGTTGAGTTCACAGTCTGTCTGCGAAGTTGTCCACTGGAGCGGCAGCTCTGATACGTTCCTTACCACCTCTATTGTGCCCCACTGACAGCTCAGTGTGTGGACACCTGGAATAGGGAGAGCAAACCCATCTCAGCAGCCTTCCTTTTAGACTAGGCAAATACTCCTCCCACATGGGCTCTTCACTCACTGGGCAGCAAGAAGGTGATCCCCAGGACGGCCAGCAGTGGTGAAGGGCTCATTTCCAGGTTGTGGCTGGAGATCCCCTAGAGACTGTCTCACCAGGAAATCCGACCCTTTTATACCTCACAACAGCAAGGCAGCCTGGGAAAGGGAGTGTGCTGCCCCTCCAGGTACAGTCAGGCTCCGCCCTCTGAGTGGGTGCTGTTTGAAAGTCTTAGATTTCTGGACCGTCCCTCCTCTCTCAGACTGAGGAGTGCAGGCGCCAGCCCCCTTCCCTGAGACAGCAGAATTCGGGTCCGTAGAAGCCCTCGCAGTGAGACATAGAGCATCTGAACACCGAGGTCCTCCTCTTTCAGACCTCTAGGCCTCTTTCCTCGTCAGCCCAGCTGTGGGTCTTCTCCCCGGCCCTGTCACCGAGTATCTTGGGAGTACAGTTCCTTCTTATCAGCCCACCCCAGCCAACTCTAACCCCAGTGGAAGTGGCCTAACTTCTCGGGACTTTCACAATCCTGAGTGGCTTTTCTTTGGGTTCTCTCTGACTTGGTTTCCGCTCCCCTCAGGCTCTCCATTGCTTGCTTTCTCTCCCCCCCCCATACGTATTGCTCTTTGATTCCCTTTTTTCATGATTTTCAAGCTTTCTCTTCCGTCTCCTCATAGCACAACAGAGCCCATGGAGTTCTGCCTGGGAAGGAGTGGAGGTGCAGCGTAGGCATGGGGGTGGGTAGTGGCAACATCGATGAAGAATTAGGATATTCTCTGGCATTGCAAAACTTCTGTGCCACCAAGATATGGCAAAGATGGTCTACCAGAAAAATAGCTTGTCACAAAACCATACCACAGGTGTTGACTTATTTTGTTGTGTAAATCCTCCCAACACGTCTGATTTTAAGCTCCAGACGTTCACCGACCGGTTCCCCAAATTCCTCCGTGTGTGTCATTCAACTTTCCAAGCCTAGGCAAACCATCACCTTGGGCAGCTATGAGACAGGAAAGAATAAGGGCTCTCCGTCGGTGACTGCAGACACCAGAAGCAAACACACATGAAAGCATTCAGAGAGGCAGGAGATGGGGCTAGAACAAGAGCAGAAGAGAGAGAGGTGAACTTTGGAATTTGCATCTACATATTTGTTTCTGCCATCTGTATGCACTGCGCTCTTATTTGTGTTCACAAATTTAATATCTGTCACCCAGGTAGGGACTTGTTTTTCTTATCTCCCACAGTGTCTATTTCACCTGCATACCCTAGAGAGGATATTCAGTAAGTGACTGAGCTGGCGGGGATCAGGAAGACCCTCCTGAGAAGGTGCTGTCGGGGTTGTGAACAGAATGAACACTGAAAAGTGGCTGTGGACAGACACACAGGAAGAGCCTTCCCGACAGAGGGAGGCTCATGTGCCTCGTGTTTAGCTCAAGCTTAGTTTCAGCAAGGACCAAAAAAAAAAAAAAAAAGGGCTGGGCATGGTGGCTCACACCTGTAATCCCAGCATTCGGGAGGCTGAGTCAGGAGGATTGCTGTGAGTTAGAGACCAGCCTGGGCTACATAGTGAGTTCCAGGTCAGTCTCAACTACATAGTGAGACCCTGTCTCAAAAAAAAAAAAAAACAAAAAACAAAACAAAAGGCAGGTGGCAGGACTGTCATGTGTGAGAGTGACAGAAGATATGCACAGCATGGCTGGCTGGGCCTGGCAACGCAGGAGCAAGGCACATTATTAAAGCCACATTCTTGGGCATCTTGCAGATCTGGTGAGACCACAGCAGAGGCTGAGATGGGTCTGTGTAGCCACAGGTCTAACTCTCCTCCGTCTGTAAAGCCCTCCTATCAGGCCCTGCTCTGGGCTTTTGACTGTGGGCAATGAGTTATTGCCACAGATGGCCTTCTTTCTCTGTTCATGAGTCTCTTCTCTAAAGTAGGTGCAATGGTTACTGCGTGGGTTGTAGTGAAGATTAAAATCTGCATGTAAGCCAAGGCAGGTTGTCCACAAATGATAAGGATGGTTAATATTATGGATCCTTACTCTGCTCCAGGACCTGGTCGAAGTATTCACTCAAGCATGACCACAGCTACAAGAGGCCTTATTAGTAGCCCAGTTTTGTAGGTGAAGACCCTGAATCCCACAGTGACTAAATAAAACGCCTTAGGCCACCCAGTTTGGCATAGATAACTGTCCACCAAAGATCTACACTTCCCTTCCAGGGCCCGGGACCACATTTTCCAGCTCCCTTACCTCTAGGTGAACCCTGTGACTAATTGCTACCCATGTTCCATGGGTAGCAATGACTCCTGTTACTTCTAAGTCTGTGTTTGAAAAGAGATTGTGGACGTCAGGGTGACTGATGAGACAGGCTCAGAGTGACACAGGGAAGAGAACAGAGCCTGCATCGGCCTTGGTCTCTGGGTCTCTGAGTAAAGCAGAGCACACCGTCCCCCTCTGCCAATACTCCGCCTAGTACTCACGGTACAAGTAAACCATCTGTTATGTTTAAGCCATGGAAACGTAGTTTGACGCTGCGTTTGTTACAGCTGCCAGTGCTCACCTATAATACCCACAGCAAGAAAATACTCTTCTTGAGATGAGTATCCTAGAAGCAGAGACTGAGACGGGGGTCCTCTTCAAGTCCTTCATTGAGGGAGAATTCTCAAGGGAGGAGCGGTGTGGGGAGCAGGTGGGCGGGGGGATAAGGAAGGGCGCGTCTCAGCAGGAAACTTGCTGCAGTTAGATCCTACACAGCTGCACCGCAGAGCGGATCACCATGGCTCCGGACCACCGTCTGCATCCCCCCGTCTAGTTAGACCTGACCAAGGCCGGTCCCGGAGCTAAGAGCGCGAAGAGTGGGCAGCTCGTTCGGTGAGGGCTTTCCCACTGGGTCAGGTAATTCTGCAGAGCAGGGGAACTGATAGCTTATGAGCCCACACCGTCTGGTCAAGGAGAGGTGGGTGAGATACACCATGCCCACTTCAGTGCTGGACACAAGCCCGATGCTAGGGGCCGGCTTCTAACAAACAGTCAACCACGGAAGCGGGGTCGGTATTCCACAGACAGCAGCTTCCCAGGGGCATGGTACGAACACAGACAAGCACCACCGTTTATCAGCAGCGCCGTGGCATTGCACAGTGAAGGGCCCTGAAGGAGATCGTCCGCAGCGCTGCCAGTACTGGGTTTCACCGCGCTTTTCCCTTTCCCTTTTCTTTTTTATTCTCTCTCTCTCTCTCTCTCTCTCTCTCTCTCTCTGCCTCTTTAATTTTTTTGTCCTCCTTCCCCTATGTGATGAAACAGTTGCAAAATTCTTATAGAACAAGATGTGGAAGCTGGGCTGAGAGAAGGAAAGGGCTTGCCGAAGGCTTCTGAGTCAGCTGCAGTCAAGATAAAATCAGTTCTGGGCCCTGAAGCCCAGGGTCTGGCTGACTCATTCTGTTACTGTCTCCTTCACTTTGCAAGTTACTACAAGCCCAGGTTGCGCCAGAACTTTCTCCAAATATTTGCCAATGGAAGATTAAGCCAGATCCTTTGGTCTGCACTTGGGTGGGGCTTCGTCCACCAAGACAAATGTTACTCTGTGGAACTACAGCAAATACTTTCTCCATGGAGATAAATCTTCCAGAAAACATACTTTTTTCTCCCTGAGACTTTCTTCACTTGCTTTTAGCCAAAAGGCCGAGAAGCGATACCCTGAGACTTTCTTAATGATACGAGAAAGAAAAACTTCCTCTCTTCCTCTCTGGGCTTCCCCAGTCCCAGAGACCTCGTCTTGAAAAAAGGGAGAGGGAGTTGAGGGTGCAGCACCACATGAAGGGCCTGGGCTCATACTGCAATGCCAGAAAAGGAGGCAAAGGAAGAGGAAAGAGGAATAGGTGGGGAAGAAGGATAAAGAAGAAGAGGAAAAGGAGAAGAAGCACCTCCAGTCTCACCTTCTCAAAAATTACCCAAGAGTGATCTTTCTTTCTTTCTTTCTTTCTTTCTTTCTTTCTTTCTTTCTCTTTCTTTCTTTCTTTCTTTCGTACCGGGGATTGAACTCGGGTCCTTGCACTTGAGAGGCAGTCGGCCGAACCACTGAGCTAAATCCCAGGCACAAGAGTGATATAGTGATATTTCCTGGTTTTTTTATTTTTTATTTGTTTTGAGACAGGGTTTCATTATGTAGTTGAGACTGACCTGAAACTCACTATGTATCCCAGGCTGGCCTTGAACTCACAGCGATCCTTCTGCCTCAGCCTCCCGAGTGCTGGGATTACAGGTGTGCACCCCCATGCCCGGCCAGGTTCTTATTTACAACTCAGTAGCATCCACCCTTACAGTCATACCAGAGTTTAGCTGGGCTGCTTCCCAGTTTGGGACTATTAGCAATAAAGCTACAGTGAATATTCATGCACAGATCTTTAGGTAGACATATGCTTTTGTTTCTAGGGGAACATGTTTGCAAAACATCTGTCCGATGAAGGACCTGCCACTAGGATATATAGAGAATGTTTAAGCTCAGCAATAAGAAGCAATAAAAAAGATTTGAACAGGTGCTTCACCAAAAAAAGAAAGAAAGGAAAAAATAATGGTGACTATAGGTGCCACTCTGGAACTGTTGGAATGGCTAAAATGGGCAAGAGTGACCACACCAAGTGATGGCAAGGATGTGAAGAAACTGGAGCTCACACACTGCTAGTAGGGATATAAAATGAAACAACTGCTTTGGAAAATAGTCTAGCAGTTACTTTAAAATTGAAGTCTACACTTACCATGCAACTCAAAATTCCATTCTATTCCTATATTATACTTGCTAAATGGAAATCAAGTGGAATTATCTTGAAAAACATTTGGATCTCTGTGAGTTCAAGACCAGCCTGGGCTACATAGTGAGTTCCAGGTCAGACTCAACTACATAGTGAGATAAAAAAAAAAAAAAAAAAAAAAAAAAAAAAAAAAAAAAAAAGAAAAAGAAAAAGAAAAAAAGAGCCTGTTGCTGCATGAAAGTTGATGCATAAAACTGGCGCGTGCACTAGAGAGAGATCACGGGATTCCCTGAATCCACAGATGTGGTGGAGGAAGAAGCAGGAGGAGTAGGCACCATGGGATCTGACCACCTGCTGGCGTTTACCTGCCTGAGCCTCATCACGAAGCACCTTACCCTCTGGATGCTGGGTGTCACAGTTTGCCCACGAAGCACCGGCACGCGATGCACAGTTTAGGTCGCAATGCCCTTGGTGTCCTGTGGTCAGGCATTCAGAGTCCGGGGGCCCCAGTCACAGCCACAACCTACTTCCCAAACAGTGGGTGGTCATCTGCAGAAACCATGGGAATCTCCTGCTAGAGCTTCTAAGAGGCGCCGTGAAAAGATGTGCCAGGTTTTAAACATAGAGGCTCTTTCATTAATTTCTAAATACACTCGCCCAGGTGTTATTTAGAATAGTATTTTACAGTTCCACTGGGGAGATTTTGGTGGGGAGTGCGGCGGTCAACTTCTGATGCAGTCCTACTGTGCTCTGAATTGTTTGTCCTTTTATAATTTATGGCTATTTCCTAGATGGCGTATTGTCGATTATCTCTGCTCTTTGATATTTAATGAATCTGCATTTATCAGA